AGAAAAGAGAGTCTATAGACCAGCATATCTCATGAACAAATATGGAATCCTCAAAATATTATCACATCTAACTCATCAGTATATAAAAATAAATTCATCATCTCAATAGGCTCAAGAAGAAATGTAGGGTCATATCAATAGATGCATTTCAAGTATTATATATCACTAGAAGAGAGCAAATTAAAGCAATGAAATAGCACTACACACCTGTAAGAACTGCAAAAATTCATAACATTGATATGCCAAGTGCTGGAAAGGATGTGGTTCAACAGGAACTCTTATTCGTTGCTGATGGCAAAGTAGCCACTTTGGAAGATAGAGTTCGTTTTTTTACAGCATAATCTGATACTACCCACCATTCACACTTCTTGATATTTACTCTCATGAGTTGAAAGTTTATATCCACACAAAAACTCACACAAATATTTATAGCATCTTTAGTCATAATTCCCAAAAATTGAAAGCAAAAAAGATGTTCTTTTTTTTTCAATTAAAAAACATTAATAGATGAATGAATAAACAAACTGCTGTATACTCATGCAATGGAATACTGTTAAGCAATAAAAATACAAATTGCTAAGTGGGAAAAAAAACCCATATGTGAAAGTTATATACTCTATGATTCCAACCATATGACTTTCTGGAAAAGCCAAAACTATAGAGACAGTAAAAAGATGACTGGTTTTCAGAAGTTTGAAGGAGGGATGGACAATGGAATAGGCAGAGCTCGGGATTGTTAGGGCAATGAAAGTACTCTATAAGAGAGTGCAATGCTGGATATGTGACATGATGAACTTGTTAAAACCCATGGAACTATACAACACAAGAGAACACTAATGAAAACTATGAATTTTAGTTAATAAAGTATCAGTATAGGTTCATCAATTGTAACAAACATAGGTAAAAAATAGGAAAAAACTATGTGCGAGGGGTTATGATAAAGAGGGGTAGATGATAAATCTCTGTTTTTTCAGCTGGTCATAATTTGTTGCGACCTATTGTTTGCTTTGCTTTATATTGCTAGATCTCTTTGGGGATTTTTACCAAAAAAAAAAAAGTCTGTGCTGTCTGCAAATAAGGAGAGTTTTATCTTTTTTTTTTTTTCTCTGTCTGCATGCATTTTCTTTTTGTGGTCTTATTTGATTGGCTCACCCACCTTCCAGTGCTTATGTTGAATAGAGGAAGTAAGAAGAGGCATCCTTTATCTTACTGCCCATTTTGGGAGAACGCATTCACTATGATGATAGCTGTAAGTTTTCCATAATCGTCCTCTAGCTGTTTCAGGAAGTTCAGTTCTATCTTGTATTTTCCAGAAT